GGAGATTAGAAATCTTAGCACTCGTCTCATTTACTTGATAAAAACTCTTCATAATTAGCTTGTTAAAAATAGTTAGTAATTTAGTTGATTAGTATAACTTTATCAAACCCAATTTGCTATTCAATTAAGGTTAAGATTAAATTGAACATGATTAAGTATTTAGTCCTCCTCGTAAGATTAGTCGAGGTGCGCATAACCTGGCTCCGACACTCACGGTTATAAAAAAAAGTAATATAGTCCTCATGGGTATAACACTCTACTTATCACTTTATTACTTGTTCGCGATACCGCACATTGCGAGAAATCAACGATCACCTAACTTAATTTAATTGATTTAAGACCCAATTAAATAAAACGTTATAATTGGATCAATTGTGAGAATCAAATCAATGCAGTGTGACTATGTATTGTATTGTATCGTATCTCAAGCTCTAGTACTACAAACAAAATTTGTTGTGCTAATATTTGTTTTACGAACTCTCATGAGAACCCAAATTATTCCAATTTTTACCCTATGGCACCAACTGCTTCGTTGATCAAGTGGATCACTTTATCAACCCTACAACTCCCCGTGGTTGAATGGTTTCTCAAATGATGTGTACATTTTGAATATTTCTTGTTTCTCTCTACCCTCAAAAACAACTCAAGCTTCTCATGTCAATTTAGGATCAAACCATAGCTAAGAATGGTCAGCTATAACTGAAATGTCTTAATCTTCTTCCATGTCAACACAATGAAATCCGTCGAGAATACCCGTTTTCCCACTTTAATGACTATGTCTCAAGAGCGAATCCAGGAACGGGACTAAATAAAATTTCAAGTCGGGCTAATATATAAAAAAAATTTACACACAAGGAAAATTACCCAAAATTGTACCTATAAACAATACTATTCAAAAATAAGATTGTCTAGTTTTAAATTCACAAATCAAGTGATGATACAAATTTATTAAATTTATTAATACATTATTAATATGAAAACCGTTTTAACATAAATTCTCTCACTACTTTCCCTTAACTTAGGGATGGCAACCCATTAAACCCGATTCCCGCGGCCCCGCCCTAAATGTGATGAGTATTACCCACTTAAATGGGTACTCAGGGTGGGTACTGGACAAAGAATGCTGACCCGGGATGGGTACGGATCGGGTATAGGAAATATGTTACCTGACCCGTGACCCCACCCCATTTACAATTCAATCAATGAAAAATATGAATGAGGAAATTATATAAAAACAAGCATTTAAGTTTTCAAATTCAAAAATCAGATCTGAAATTTATTTAATAAAAAATCAGGTATTAATTGAATTATTAATTATATTAACCCTAAATCATTATCTCTCTCATCTTTCACACACACGCCTTCCTCGCCCTTCTCCCTTACAGACATGCCTTTCTTCCTTACCCATCTCTCTCACAGACACGTCGGAGACTGCATAGCTCCTTCATGCCCCTCTCCATACCCTCACCCTCATAGATCACGTCGTTGGAGACCTACTATCTCCTCCACCATTCCCCTCTCTTCTCCTTTCTATAGCAATCTGGTACGCAACGGCGCGCCCACTGACGTTGCTCTTAAAATGACAGTGGTTGATCCACAGCGGCGCAAATTTGTTATTTCTTTTTTTTAGTTTTCGAGTTTGATTTATCGGATGGTTGTGGTGGTTGTATGGCTAATGTTTACGGATGGTTGCTATGGTGGTTTTTCAATCAAAGGAGGGTTTTATGGACAGAGCAATGCAGTGTACAATAGCATGGTAGAGTACGGGTGTTGGAGGTGTTGGTAGTGTTGTGGTGTTGTTTTGGTGTTGTTGGGGGGTTTCAAGTGATTTTTGTTGGTGGCTATGGTGGATCTGGCGGCGATTTTGGTGAGGTTGTTGGGGTGGTGTATTGTTAGGTGTGTTTGGTGGGGATTTCTGGCTGTGGTTGTGTTCGTGGTGCTGTGATAGTTTCTGGTGGTGGTCGTGTCGGCGGTGGAAACGTTGGTTATGTTGGTGAGGTTGTGGTTGTGTATTATTAGTTGTGCAAGTGGAGGTGTCGATGGTGCGGTCGACGATGGTGGTGGTGGCGCGATGGATCTAGGTAGGATACAGGTGGTAGTGGTGAGTTTGGTGACTGGCTGGTATGATTTGTTTGTGGTGATATGCGCGGTCGTGTTCCTGGTGCAGCGTGGTGATGGTGGTGTTGCAAAGATGGTGGCGGCGGCACGCGGTGGTGACTGGTGATGGCGATGGCAGTGGTGGTTCTGATGATTTTTGTTGGCAGTGTATTGGATCTAATGGTGGCGGCTTTGTTGGCGGTGGTGCTGTAATGGCGGTGGCAATGGTGGAAGTGTTGTGTTTGTGACCAAGTATTGGTAGTCGATCGAGATCAGGGATGAGATGTTTGGTGTATATGACCAACTATGTGGTTCAACGTGACTAACTATTAAACTGCGACATTAAAATTCGACAATGTGACTAAAAAATAATGTGTTCAAGAAATTTGAAAATATGTGACCGATAAATGAACTGTGACCTATAATTTTTTAAATCCGTGACCAATGAAGTAAACCGTGACTTATAAAATTTTTAATTTGTGACCTTGAAATAATCCGTAATCAATTAATTTGATAATATGTGACCAATAAATAAGTTGTGATCTATAATTATGTACATATGACTATTAATTGTATAATTGTAAATTTATTATATTTAAATAATAAATATTGTTAATTAATTAGCTAAATAACTGAATTTTGCATTTTTTAAACTTAAACCTGAATTTTGCACTTGAGAAACTTAAGATCTGATTTGTGAATTCTTCCCATAATATATCCCATTCTCAGGATTAGCAACTCAGACTCATCCCATTGATCCCAAAATGGCCCATTTAGCCCAAGCCCAAATTTTGTCCAAAAGACCAAAAATTAACCAAGGCATTAGGCACGTTTATTCATTCATAATTCATTTATAATCAGATTGAGAATTTGAGAGAGGCGACGGCGGCAAAGTGAAAAGTACAGCCAAACATAAAACAATCGGTATTTTTTGCATATTTAGTATTTGTGTAATGTTTTATTAGATGATTTGTAATTGGCAAGAAATCATGATTTGGAGAAAAAAATATATTCTGTAGACTATTTATGGATGGCCAAAAAACCACAACAATTTCTTCTTTTTTTCCCAGTATTTTCTAACTATATTTTAGTTCAGTATTGAATTTTGTTTTGACTCCAATTGTGTGTTTTATCTTTTTACTGCTAATGGTAATGGAATTGGGGTGTTCCAAATTCACCCATATATGTCTCGTATTTGGAATTGGCCAATTGGGTGTTACCGTGTTTGACTCCAGTTGAACAGTTCAACATATTGCTTGATGAATTTCTTCAATTTTACTACAGCTCTTCCTCTGTTGTTGTGTAACAAGGATTATGTTGAAATTCAAGTTCTCAAAGTTGTCGAGCAGAGTAAGGAGAATTGGCATAGTTAGTCAAAATATTATATTAATATTACAAGGGGCACTAAACTTGGAATATATTAAAAACTGAATTAAAAAAAGGAGGCAAGAAACGGGTAGGGGCCTTGCCCCGCCCCGTCCCCAACTTGAACGGGTATGGGGTGGGAAACTATCCCGTGGGGCGGGGGGCGGGGGCGGGGGCGGGGCAAGGTCAGATGCTCTTCCAATTATATAATAATACTATTTCATCTTATATTTTGCATTTGTTAGAGGAATATATGCTATTCAATCATGAGAATAATATAGTATTAGTATGTGAGGAATAAATCATTTTCCAATTTATTTTGAACAATATATTATACAGAGTTAAGAAAAATGTAAGGTTTCATATAATATATCTGTTTGCATGCATACACAAATCATACACTATGGCTTCTATGCTGCAATTCTTTCCTATTCTATAGATAACTTATTCTATACTTTTGGATTTTCTAATGGTATTCAAAGTATTATCTTACCTAAAAATTTTATATAAATCATAGGAAAAATAATATTTTTATATTTCATTGTCAAGAAAACTTGGTAAACAGAAACATAAATATACAGTAATCACATTAGTCCGTAGTTTCTCCCCTTTTATACCTTCCACTCTTCCGGCAGATATCAACAACGAACTCTCATGGGCCAGGGACAACTGGATAATCCGGTTATTCCGGTGGAATACATTGACCTCTAAAAAAGAGGCCTTAACATTCATCAAGGATGCCTGCATTCCTCACACTTGGTTCAAATCAATATGCATCGAAGACGGGCATCCAAAAAAGTTCTGAATGATATTTGAGAAAACAGAGTACTGTCAAAAAATTAATAACATAGCAATTTAATCTATTGCATCAGCTATCACAATAGTATCTTCAATCTGTCCTATTAAAATGACTCGAGGCCTCTTACATCATATGACAATACAAAAGAAACTATTTACAATCATCCGATAACACCTGTTTAGGGAGATCCATTGCAAACTTCACATCACATTGTGGGTGTCCACGTCGACATATCATAATAACATTCAAGATTACTCAAGTGAGATAATTTTTTGCTTTTTCATACAAAATATAATCAATGGCAAACGTTAACTTGCAGTGATTTAGCAATTGAATAACTAACTAACCAGTGATTTAGCAATATAATCAATGATCACAATGCAAAGATACAATCAACAAGTCAAAATTAAGCATTGCTTGACTATTAAAAAGGACACCACATGTTCCAATTTCACAGCACGAAATTAGAAATTTACGAACAGATGCTGATGCAGTAACAGAAACTCTTTTATTGACAGAATGAATTTGCAAATTCAAGTTCCATGAGATATTCATACAACACCTCAGACATTTCTAAACTAGATTAACATAAATGAGCAATTTTTTTACTCATTTACTTTCTTGTATGGATGACTCCTGATGAATTCTAGTGGCCAGCTACCGTGCCATCTAAAGTCAGGAAGTTAGATCTAAATGAGAGAATGAATTTTTACTTGCAAATGTCAATGTAGCGAAAATTCTACTCTTTCTTACAAGGTTTGAAATCAACTCGGCACATCTCCAAGCAGCATGGAAAATTTTTAATTTCTATGGAGGTTGCTTCCATTTTTGCATTCCATTTCCCAGGTAATACAGAAACTTTCAGCATTTGCAAAACTCTTCCATTCTGTAAAAGGTACTTCAAGAGCAGAACATCCCATACACCATTCACGAACATTTTAAACTCAATATTCCTAAGATGTTGATCCAAACACACAGGCACAATTTCTGGCAGAGGATATGAGCCTTCAACTTCTTCTGGATCAAGGGAATAATATTGGTGGAGCGTATACTGTTTAAAAAAAAATAGTGTGAAAATTTGATTTGTTTGCTTCTTGCTCTAGAAAGTACTAATAGAGCTTACCGAATGAACAACGAGCTCTTGAAGGTGTGGTGCACGTGCAAGTACTTCTGGAAGTATCCGAAAGTCAGGAACTTCAAGCTCCAAGACAGTCAAATTTGTAAAAACAGATACTGATGTATAAGTGAGATATGCAGCCTTGACCCAAAGAAAGAAAAAGATGAAACTTAGTAGGAGCAAACACTTTGATCTTTGAATTTAAATATTTCTATACTTAATACTATGAGTTTTTAAGGTTCGAATATACCTCCATAGCATATTCAGACAAATAAATGGACGTTACTCCTTGCAAGTTGTTGATAAACTTGGATGCATTCTCTGAATCTTGCACATAATCAAAAGTAAATTCCGCTCTAGCAAGGGATGCTATTTTATTCACCAAGAGGAATTTACGAGAACTACCTTGGTAATGAAAAAACTCCATATTCGGTGTATTGATGAAAAGTTCTAAACCCGAAATGTCACCGATAAGAGAATTGAAAGAAAAGATTCTCAGCGAAGGCATGGAAAGATGAAGAACATCAGTGCTCCCAAATAAATTCAACAGCCACAATTCCTCGAGTACTTTACAACCATGAAAAAATCTTGTCACTTTATCACTATTGTTTAGATGGAAATCCTGTAAGTGCATCACCTTTAAATTGGGTAAAGAGACGGAATCCGGGATGTCGAACTCAATAGATGTCCCTCTTAGTTTCAAAACTACCAGTGATTGAGATGTGAAAACTTCAGTAGGTAGTTTTCCCCAAATTGCAAGGGTTCCCGTGCAAATATCAATTTCTTTTGCATTTCTCCATAATACAGCGCGTACCATTGTTTGGACTCCACTATTACTAAAGTCAAAATTGCATTTGAGTTGAAATCGATGAATTTTACTTCGGAGCATTATTTGCCTAAGGCCAAACATGGTAAAATCTAACTCACAATCCTTGAAGCTATTTGTCCTAAATAAGGAATCATCTAGTATGATGTTAGGCATTGAACGAAAAACATTTAGCAATCTCCGGGAATTAACACAAGTAGCCATGACGAACTTTGTATCTACATATGATAAAATGTGGTCCAAAAGTTCATCAGGTATAGCACTTAATCTATCTGCAAAAAGGTTTGGGGAAATTTCTGGCGTTTTGGATTTTCTTGCTTCCTACAGTAAATATATCAGGGTTAGGGTTGGAATGACTAAAATTTCTGGCATATATCCATTGCTCAATGACTGTACATATATCCAATGCTCAACGACAGAAGGTAAATATTCTCCAGGCGATTAAGTAATATTTCTTCAAAATTATTCAATTGGCAGTCAACAATTGTACATATATCCATTTCTCAATGACAAAAGTAAAGATTATTGAGTTAAGTAAGTGATATTTCTTCGAAACTATTCAATTGGCATAATCAGTTGGCATAAATCCATAATGATAAGGTTAATTTAATCTATAACTTTTCGAGAAAACAAAAATCTCACAATAGAACGGCGGCGGAGGAGTCGGAGGCGGCGGCGGCGGCGGAGTCGGAGTCGGAGTCGGAGGAGGACGAGAACATGGAGACAGAATCGCATTTTCCCTTCTGATGATGAGGGAACCAGTGTTCGTGTTTTGCAACTTCGAATAGAGTGAGAGCAAAAAACAAAACGTTAAAAATAATAAGTAAAAAGGGGTTTTGGGGTTTTATTGTTTGGCAAGTTTAGTAAGGAGGCGGGGGCAAAATTGAAAATCAAATAAAAAACTATTTCAATTCCATTGGATATTTTTTAGTTTTGTGATTTTGGTTAATTGGTATTTTTAATCATATGTATTAAAATCTACGACTTTTATATTTTTTATCCGCACATTTTATAAGCCTCCCATTTGAGTTCCATTTTAATGAGTTTTTTTTTTTGGAAAAAATATATTCTAAAATAGTGATTTTTTAAGAATGTATGGTTAAAAAAGATTGAAAAGTTTTAAATTTATGTCTAATATTATTTTATTAGAGAACGTGTACTGTGTAGTTAAAAAGAGGAAAGTGAAAAATGTATTTTAAAAATAATGGAGGCCCAAACAGAGGGGTAAATCCCAACACGGCTTAAGGACTCATCGAGCAACTGTCACATTCTATGTGTCATTGTAACACTTCAAGTATAAGTGAATATCGTCTTCTCTCCCGTGGATGTAGGTTTGCCACACTGGCGCCAAACTACGTAATTCTGTGTTCTTTCTTATATATTGAATTCTTTATGGTATCAGAGCGGATATATTGATCATGTCAACAGTTCGAAAAAAAGGGAAAGCAGAAACGAAATTTTTTCTCTTCAGAATTTTTTTTAGCTTTGCGCGACCTCTACGAAAATGGCTGTATCTTTCAAACCGTAACTCGACTAGAGACACTTGGTTCCTTTATATAAACGCTTCCATCAAGTAAAGCTGGTAGTTTCTCCTCCGATAACTTTCACCCAATTAAATAAATAAATAAATAAATGAGAAGTTATATTATGCAGCTTGTCGTTTCAATTTAAAACTTATGTTTAAACATTTAGCATGTTGGCCACAAATCGATACATTGTGAAGATCAATGACTATGTTTAACTTTTATCCTTTTCAATCATCTACGAAAAATTATTCAAATAACGTTAAATGATGCATATTCACAAATGACCTAATGCTCGACATCTTATCACATTTTCAACTAGGTAGATTATGAAATCTTACCAACAATTCAACTTTACAAGATATTTGACGACTAGGAGAATCACCTTTTTGTGATTTTATTCAAGGCCGAAAAAGTACTACATGCTTTTTTTTTTTTTTTTTTAAATTTAAATTATTAGCTTGTTTGGTAGGAATTTTTTGGGGGAAGAATTGATTTTGAATAGTGATATGATGGGAAATGTGTGGTTGAAAAAGAAGAAAAAATTATTGATGTGATGAAAAATATTATTTTATTGAAGAATGTGTGGTTGAAAATGAGAATTGATTTACTGTAGAAAATTAGAATCCCTATTGTTTCATTTTACTCAACAAGGTCAAGTAATATTTTTTAATTTTATATTTTGATTATGAGAATTAAAAAGTGATTTATAAATTTGGGATTCAATTACGTCAACCTCGTTCCATTAAAAACAACAACAACAACAACAACAACAATAATAATAATAATAATAATAATAATAATAATAATAAATTAAACATTGGGGGGACTAGGGTTACAGTTTTTACAGCGTTGTTCAAATAAATTATGGGATAATTTAATTCTTAAAAAAAATATTTTTTACGACCGAGTAAAACAAGTACGTCATTGATAACTTCATGCACACAAAATTCTAAACAGATCTATGGGCTGTGAGCAATAAATCAAAATAGTCAACAAAACATATTTCAATCATGCTACAAGTACACTAACTTTGACATCAAGTTTGACATTGTACCACGTGGCGACATTACATTGGGCAGTTTTTAAAAACAACACACTTTCCCGCTAAACACAGTTTGAATTTACACATGGTGTCAAACTTGATGTCAAGAAAACAATGCACATGAGACTTTATCCAAAATATTTTGACATTAATTTACCGTTAAAGTTTGAATTTCAAAAAGGATATTCGCTCTTTGCATTAATTATTTAAGTACTTATTTTTCGTCTTAATTATAATTTTCTTAGCAGCCGTACTTGTTTGAATATGCGCACATAGTTTAATATCGTTATACAATTACAATTCTGTGAAATTCATGGCTCTTCGCTTTTACGTTTTTTCACGACATGAAATTGAAACGAACACAAAAATAATGTTGAAACTACAAGACGATTCACTATTTCGACAAAGCATTTCTTAGCAAAGAAGTAAATTTTTGTTATTTTACTTGAAATATTTTTTATTTTTTATTTATCTTAGATTCCTAGCTTCAATCTTTCTTCCAAAGTAAACATGGATCCAAGTTTTATGAATTATTTTAAAATACAGATTAAAAAAATTTAGTCAATACATAATTATTCTCTCCTAATATAAGCAAACAAGGAATTTTCTTTAAGTATTCATTTAACACAATTAAATAATTATTAAGCAATAAAAATCTGACAATACTGTTCCTCGAAGAAAAAGTT